AAAAAAACCCCAGTGCAAAAAAATCATTCTATCCTCTGACAACAGTTTCAGTGGGGGTCAGGAGAGAGGCCGGTCTGCCAAAGTCCAGAGTCACCATAAGAAAAATGGGAAGGGCAGCTACACCCCAAAGCTGATTCCCTTGGTTTTTCTTTTTTCTTCTTAATTTGTTTTCAGTCCGACCCCCCTCCCGATCCCTTCCCAATCACCTCAAGGTTCTCCCCATACAAAATTTTGTGGAATAGCCCACTAGAAGGTAAGTCATCCTCTTACATTTTTTTTCAGTAAAAGCGCTCCCCAATAAATAGTTTGGGGGGGGGGGGGTTGCTGAGCTCTCATTTGCAGGTGGCGCCGCAGCGTTTGCACAGCGAGAGCATTTCCTGCGATCCGTAGGTAAAGGCGGGACGACTGGAGTCCCAAAGTGAGCTAGCTACAGGACTCACCGTTTTTGCAGTGATTTCCCGGGCAGCACATAGCGTTACGCACGCAGCGTTTCCGGCGCTTCCTGCAGGCGAGACAGATTTGCACGCCCGCGGCCCCTCCGCGGGTGGGACTCGCACAGTACTCATCGGTGCCGCACTCCTCGTCCTCGGCGCACGGGTACGGCTGCGGGAAGGGGTCGGGGAGACAGTGAGGAGCCCAGGCATCCAGGTCCACACTCCTGGATCCGGACGCTCATCACGGTCCCTGTCTGTCCACCTCTCCGAAAGCTGTTGCCGCCCAGTGTTCCTAAAGGCACCTTTAGCAACTGCGCCCTGCACTGCAAACACCCAGCACGTTCTACGTTCAAATGGGACCCGTTCAGGGTCACAGCGTCCCTGGACCCCCCGCGACCCCTCTCACCTGGTAGTTGTCAATGGTCTGGTGCTTATTCCCGCCCTCAATCAGAACGCCAGGCGCGGCGCTGACGGCCGAGCCTAGCAGCGCCGCCCAGAGGTGGGGGCAGGTTCTTGATAGCGTTGGAATTGACAAGAACCGAGTTCAAGGTGGCGCTCGCTCCGAGCAGAGGGTGGCCGCAAAGAGCAGCCGCTACCAGGGCAATCAAGACCGGGGCAGCTCCCATCGCGCCCAGAGCCGTCATCTCAGGAGTCAGGAGGGAGAGAGAAAGAGAAAAGAGGAATGTCGCTTTGCAAGCCTGGTTGCGCGGCCGAACTACGCGAGCGCGGCTGGCGAGACTGCGCTCCGGGAGCCTCCCGCGGTCCCAGAGTTCAGGCAGCCGGGCGCACCGAGCTCTGCGCCGCCACCGCCACCGCGACGGCCTTTATACTGCGGGCACCGAGCATTCCGGCCCCTCGGGGGGAGACAACAAAGCCGGGATGGGATTTCAAAGCGCTGGGAGGGGCTGGGGGTGTGTTTGTGTACTTGAAGGGGGGCCTTTGACACTCTTCACCCCGCCCGCCCCTCCCTCGCGCGGTCTTTGGGCTGGACCGGTTCACCTTCGGGCTGGCG